CCCTCTCTCTCTCTCTCTCTCTCTCTCTCTCTCTCTCTCTCTCTCTCTCTCTCTCTCTCTCTCTTTATCTATCTATCTCTGCTTCCTGGCTGCCATGAGGTGAACAACTTTCCTCCACTACGATGTGTTTTGCCTCAACACAGGCTCAGAAATGATGAAGCCTAGTGACCATGGATGGAAACCTCTGAAACTACCAGCTAAAGTAAACCTTTCCTCCTTCAAGTTCATTTATGACAGTATTTGGTCACAGCAACAGAGAGCTAACACATATGGGGAAAGCTCATGATGAGACAGTTTCCAAGTCCACTTACAGAACCTTCACCTTGCAAGAACTCTCCCTCCCACACAGCCAGGGAAAGTCCCATCCTTTAGAGAGGGTAAACCAGAGTAGCCTCAGCCTACCATATTTTCATCACTAAAAAGAATCCAGCTAACAAACCACAAAAAACATGAAGGAACTTTAAATGCATATTACTAAGTGAAAGAAGCTACAAAAATGGGTTATCTATTATATGATTCCAACTGGAAAGTACAAAGATATTCTTGAAAATACAAAGCTGTAGTGAAAAGATCAGGTCACAAACTGGGGTCAGTGACCATAAATAGAGAGATTTCTTAAAAATAATAAGGGACCATGAGAAATCAACTCAACAGCTCCTGGATGACACAAATTAGAATACTATAAGATTGATAGGAATCCACAAAAAAGCAGGAGAAAGCAAAAATGACATAAAAAATTGTTCAAAGAATTAATGATAGAAAACTTCCCAAACAGAGCAAAAGAACTAGACATATAGGTAAGTAAGACATGTAGGACTCCAGCTACTTATGATTAAAAAAAAAAAAAAGAAAAAGAAAAAGAAAAAGAAACTACACATACAGGTATCATAGTCAAGATCCTGGAAACCCAAGCAGTTAGAAAAAGGAAACAAATTACCAGCAAAGGAAAGCCCAAAGGAATAGACTTTTCAAAACAAACCCTCAAATCAGAGCCTAGAGTGAGTTATTTCAAGCTTTAAAACAAAACAACCTCCAACCTAGGCTGATGTATCATGCAAAACTATCTTTCAAAATTGATGGAGAAATAAGATACTTTCATGACAAAGAACATATGAGAAACTTCATGAATACCAATCCAGCACCCCAAATAATTTTTTTAAATATCCTAGAAAAAGTTGATGAAGGTCGCACTCCATTAGGCCAAACAAAGGAAATCCAAAAGGCAACAATTTAAAGGGAGAGGGAGAAAATTAAAAAGAACCAACAACAGGATAATAACATGACAATGATAAGTGAATCATATCAATTAAAACCATCAATATCAAAGGCCTTAATTCACCAATCAAAAGAAATTGACCGGAACAATGGATTAAGAAGCAAAATCCAACAATATGCTGTATACAAGAAATGAACCTACTTGAAAAAGAAACTCATAGACTGAAAGTAAAAGGATGGAAAACAGTTCTCCATGTGACAGGAGCCCAGAAAAAATCAGGAGTAGCTATCTTATTCGCAGACAAAGTAAATTTCAAACCAAAACTAATTGAGAGACAAAGAAGGTCACTACATCCTTGTAAAGGGAATAATCCAACAGGAAGAGACCACAATCATAAATATATATGCACCAACACTAATGACCCCAACTATACAAAACAAATATTAAGGGACATGAAACACCAAATAAACACTAATACAACTGCAGTAGGGGACCTCAATACTTCATTGTCACAAATACACAGATCATCTAGACTAAAAATCAACAAAATACTCAAATTGAAACAAGCTTTTGAACAAATGGATTTAATAGATGTTACAGAGTGTTCCACCTCGCAAAATCAGAATATACATTCTTTTCAGCTGCACATGGGTCATTCTCCAAAACAGATCACATACTAGCTCATAGAACATGTTTAAGTAAATGCAAAGGAAATGAAGAATTTATTACCAGAACATAGCCCAATTAAATTGGAGATCAATAGCATAAGAAACTGCAAGAACTTCACAAACACATGGAAATTGAATAACACTCTCCTGAACAACCAATGGGTCACAGAGGAAATTAAAAAAGAAATTACACAGTTTTTACAAATAAATGATAGTGCCAATATGGCATACAGGACTCTATGGGATACAATGAAAGTAGGTCTATGAGGGAAATTCATACCAGTGAATGCCCATACTAGGAAAACAAGAGTGAGCTCAAATAAAAAATCTAATGCTGAATCTTAAGCTTTTAGAAAAAAAAAGAGCAAGACAAACCCAAAGCCTGAGGGAGGAAATTATAAATATCAGAACACAAATCAATGCAATGCAGACTAAGAGGATGATACAAAAAAAAATCAACAAATAAAAGAGTTTGTCTTTCAAAAGAATAAATAAAATTGATAAACACTTAGTCAACCTTATGAAAAAGGGGAAAAGAGGTTCAAATCCATGCAATTAGGAATGAAAAAGGAATGAAGTCACAACAGATCCAGCAGAAATACAGAGGATCATCAATACCTACTTAAAGAACCTGTACTCTAATAAAATGGAAAACACAGAAGAAATGGACAGATTTCTAGATACATATGAATTACCAAGTTGAACGAAGAAGATATAAAACTATACACCCCAATTATAATCAGTAAAATTGAAAATGTAATTAAAAGTTTACCAATGAAGAAAAGCCCAGGTCCTGATGGCTTCACTGATGAATTCTACAATACATTTAGAGAGGAACTAGTGCCACTACTCTTTTAACTTTTCAATGAAATTGAAAGGGAAGCAATACTTCCAAATTCATTCCTGAAAGCATTACTTTGATTCTAAAACCAGGGAAAGATCCAGGCCAATCTCCTTAATGAACAGAGATGCAAAAATCCTCTATAAAATACTGGCAAACAGAATACAGAGGGTCATCAAAAAGATCATACACCTGACCAAGTCAGATTTATTCCAGGGATGAAAGGATGGCTCAACACATGTAAATCAATAAATGTAATACACTATATTAACAAAGTCAAGGATAAAAACCACATGATCCATATAAGTCTCTCAATAGATGCAGAAAAAGCATTTGACAAAATTCAACAACCATCCATGATAAAAATCCTACAGAAAATTGGACTAGTTGGCCTTTATTTCAACTTGATAAAGGTTCTCTATGAAAAACCAACAGCCAACATCATATTAAATAACGAAAAACTGAAAAATTTCAAACTAAAATCAGGAACAAGACAAGGATGTCCACTGCCATCACTTCTGTTCAGTATAGTTTTGGAAATGTTAGCTACAGCAATTAGACAAGAGAAGGAAATAAAAGCAATAAAGATAGGAAAGGAAGAAGTTATACTGTCATTCTTTGCTGATGATATGATACTCTACATAGAAGGCCCAAGAAACTCTGCCAAAAGACTTCTAGACTTAATTGACAGATTCAGTAAAGTAGCTGGATACAAGGTAAACACTCAAAAATCAATAGCCTTCTTGTACACAAATAACAGACTCACTGAGACAGAAATTAGGGAAACAATCCCTTTCACAATAGCATCCAAAAAAATGAAATATCTAGGAATCAATCTCACAAAGTAAACAAAAGACTTCTACATTGAGAAATACAACACTCTGAAAACAAAGAATGAAGTAGATATCAAAAAATGGAAAGAAATCCCCTGTGTGTGAGCAGGAAGAATCAATATAGTGAAAATAGCCATACTTCCAAAACTGCTATACAGATTCTATGCAATCCTGATTGAAATCCCAACACTTTATTTCACAGAACCAGAGAAAACAATCCAAAAATAATAATTTGGGATCAAAAGATACCTAGAATAGCAAAAGCAATTCTAGGCAACAGAGACATGGCAGGGGGTATCACAAACCCCAACTTGAAACTATACTACAAAGTCAGTCACTGTGATAAAAACATCATGGTACTGGCAAAGAAACAGATCCAAGGATTAGTGGAACAGATCAGAAGATGCAGAAACAACTCCAGACATAACTTAGCTACTTCATCTTTGACAAAGGAGCCAACGATCCTCAGTGGAGGAAAGATAGCCTCTTTAATAAATGGTGTTGGAAAAACTGGATTTCAAATTCTCAAAGATTAAAACTAGACCCCTATCTTTCAACATGCACTAAAATAAAATTCAGGTTGATTAAAGATCTAAATATTACAACAGAAACACTAAACTTGCTGAAAGATAAGTCAGGTAGAATTCTTGAAGATATCGACATAGGAAAAGACTTTATGAACAAATCCTCAGTAGCACGGGCACTAGTACAAAGAATCAACAACTGGGACCTCATCTTTTTAAAAAGCTTTTGCACTGCCAGAGAAATCACAAGCAAAGCTAACAGACAACCCACAATGTGGGAAAAATTTTTTACAGGCTGTTCCTCAGACAAAGGTCTACTATCTAGAATATATAAAGAACTCAAAAGAATCAGACCCCCCAAACATAAAGATCCAATTCCAAAATGGGGATCTGAAATGAAGAGATAAACAAGTAAAAGTAGCAAATAAACACATAAAAAAATGTTCAACATCACGAATCCTTCAAGAGATGCAGATGAAAACAACACTGAGATTCCACCTCACCCCAGAAAGAATGGCTGCTATCATGAAATCAACCAATAACAAATGCTGATGGGACTGTGGGGAAAGAGGAACACTACTCTACTGCTGGTGGGAGTGCAGACTGGTGCAACCACTGTGGAAATCAATGTAGAAATACCTCAAACAACTAGGATTAGAAGTCCCATTTGACCTAGCTATTGCTCTGCTGGTTATCTTCACAAAAGAATTAAAAGAATCATACCACAGCACTATATGTTTCACCAATTTTTATAGCAGCATAGTTTGTAATAGCTAAAATTTGGAAACAGCCCAATTGCCCATCAACTGGAGACTGGATAAATAGGATGTGTTTTTTGTTTTTTTTGTTTTGTTTTGTTTTTTATAAAATGGAATACAACACAGCCATAAAGAACGAGAAACTAGAGAGATATATAGGTAAGTGGATGCACATTGAGGCCATACTCTTGAGTGAAATTAGTAAGTCACACGTGTAAATAACAAATAATTTCTCTGTTGTGAAAAATTAAAAGTATAAATAAGGATTAAAATGCATAATTGATATTGTGTAATAGGAAGAAAAGGTCTGAATGAGTAGAGGAAGTGGGGGGGTAGGTGAAAGGAAAAAAGGGAAAAGAAAAATATGTAAAAAGGAAAAACGTGGAAACAGTATCTTTGTAAACAGGGAAGGGTGGAGGGGCTGAGGGAGAGCTGGGGAATGGGGAAAAGTAAGAACCAAGACCTGTCATGTAAAGGTACAAGATCCCAATGATGAATGTAACTGTACTGTACACCTAAAATGTACCAATAAACTTAATAAAGATAAAAAAATAAACTGTTACAGAAATGAAAAAACAAAACCAAAAAAAATACAAAGAGGTTGAGGGGAGAGGAAAATAATTATAATAAAAATAGTGTAAGGACAGGTCCCAAAAATTAGTAAGAAAAGTTTATAGGCAGAAGTCACTCACCAGTAGTTCATTAAATGCTCGACGTAATGAAGGAAAACAAACCTACCTCAAGGGTCATGGTTGCCAGTTAGTGTGCTAAGGACATAGGGAAAATGTTAAATGCTTCCATAGGGCTGGCACAGGGGCCCAGGGACAGGTCACACATAGAGGAGCATGTGCTGAAACTTGTTCTGTGGTTAAAAAAAAAGCTACCAATGCCTACAACTTTAAAACATGTTTAAATTAGTGACATATTATTATGAAATATAGGTATAAATTTTTTTGAAGAGTAAAAAAGTTAAAGTTGGATGCTTCCAGGAAATGGCAAATACCGGACCATGGGCAGATTAATTTTGTTAAAAGCTGTGTAGTGTGGACTTTTAAAACTGTGTTCATGTTCAAATCTTATTCTGATTTTTCTTCAAAATAACATATATGCAACTTTTATTTACATATAAAATATTCAGATGAGGAATGCTAATGTACAATCATTCTGAAGACTTTTGCACTACAAAAGTGGCAAGAAGTATGAGAATGTACTCACGAGAAGTCATCTGAGGATGGCTCTCTAGTTAGTTCTGGGAAATGCCTGCCAGAGAGGAAAATACACTGGTCACAAATGGATCAAAAGACAGGCACCCAGATCAAGACACAGGTAAGAAACTTACAAGCATTAGCTTAGCTATATAGATTTACAGACTCACTGTGATCTCCTACTAAGTTAGTATTTGTAGAAATAAATCCTATTTTAACTGTTTAAAGGTACCATCTGGGACTCATTTAAGTGTTATATACATTCAATAGTAACTATATATCTATGGCCCTCATAAACATCAAAAAATCAAGATACTTGATGAAGTAGCTAAAAATAAATTTATTTTGTTGAAAGAATACAGGTGAAATTTCCAGTAAGTAATGAACATAAATACACTTACCCATAGGTTACTCCTGCTATGCTACACTTTTTGAAGTTCATGATATTGCATGTCAGAGTTCCAGTCTTGTCAGAAAACAGATACTTTACCTAAATCAAAGAATAAAAGAAATGCACACTAAGAGTGTAATAAGATGCAAAGATCAATAAATGAAGCTTTTCTTTCTGTATTTTTCAAAATCTGTATTAGGAAAGGAAATAAGGGAAAAGAAAAAATATGAGAAAGCAAAAAAGTGGAAATAAAGTTTTTGTAAATAGGGAAGGGAGGAGGGGGTGAAGGGAGGGCAAGGTATGGGGAAAAATGAGAACCAAGACCTGTCATGTAAAGGTACAAGTTCCCAATGATGAATGTAACTGTACTGTATGCCTAAAATGTACCAATAAACTCAATGAGGAAAAAATTAATTAATTAAATTTAGATGAGTAGACTTCCTGAAAGTAAAGTAACTAACAAAAAATATACTTTAATTCTTAGGTCAGTTACAAACCTGTTATATAGTTAATTCTACAGTCAAACTGTGCTGTAATATGTGAAGAAAGCTTTATCGGAGCCCTGGAGCTACCTGTAAGTGAGAACATTCAGTCCTTTCAAACAGTATTTCAATACTATATTTCATGCCTCAAGATACTGCTTGAGGACACATGGTGTAGCTCAGTGGTAGAGCACTTGCCCAGCATGTGCAAGGCCTGGGCTTGATCCCTAGCAGTGCACCAAAGCGGGGAGAGTGACTGCACAGATAAGATGAATATAAAGATAGAATGGATCTGGTATAAGTTATACAATTTTTCAAGATGCAAAGATAAACAGATTAAAAACATGACAGTCTCAATACACAAAGGTGAAAAAGGACATCAGCAAGTAGACAAACAACTAACCATTCTGACAGTATTAGCTGAATGAAAAAGAGCCATGCTCCAAATGTAAATGTGGTGGGAAAATTATACTTTCTCAGATCAATACTATAGTGGAGAAGAAGGAAAGAACTCTGGCCTATGAGGAGAGATTAGTTAGTGCCCATAGCCCACTGGTCATGCAGAGGCTTACAAATTATCCTCCTTCTTGGCCCCAGTTTCCACCATGTTGAGCTAAAGGATCTGGCTAGAAGATATGCACCATTATTCCATATTCAGATGTTACGGCATGGGTTAGGAAGGGACCGTGATTACAGGATTGTCCCAGAGGAAACTTCAGTTTCTTAGTGGTTTTCTAGAGAGGAATCAAGATGGATGCTAGAAAACTTCCAGAGATCCTAGAGAAATGGTCTAAGGAAACAGTATTTTGTAGTTCTACAGAAGAGAGTTTAGTAACATGAATTGCTTATTGTGTACTTTTACTTAAAAAAATGTAAACAAATACACAGAATTATTTTTGAAGCAAAGGACTTCCAAGTAAAGAAAAACTATTAAAGCAGCTAAGTAAGTTAAATATTGCATACAAATATAAAATTAGTATACTAGGGGTAATTTATGTTTTACTAATAATCTCTTTAAATATTTATTCTATTTTAATTGTACATATTTAGGGAGTATAGTATGATAATTCAATTCATGCATACAATGTATACTGATTAGATTGGGGTTGTTAGCATATCCATTTCCTTAATTTTAAATTAACATATAATGATTACACATATTCATGAAGTATACCATAATATTTCAATACATGTATAAAACAGACACTGATCAAATTTAGATAATTAATTAATTATATGTTAATAAATTTTATGTAAGTTTTATATAGAGTAAATCTAGGAGCATAAATATACAATAGAATCTGCCTTCAAATGAGCAGCAATTCCTTCTGCCTTTTTAAAAGAGAATTAAAAGGTTACATCAAAATATTAAAAATCAAAATTTTATAATAAGAAATCATCAAGATTTGCTATCAAATTCCCTATTGAATTTTAGCTTATCCTTAAAGTTACAATTCATATCTACCCAAATGTCTACTTGACTGGTTTGGAAGCTGCCGAGAGATTACTAAAACACACTTCTCCGTTTGTCTGGGTGGATCATAGAGGCGCGACCTTGGGGTCTGTGTCTGATTGTCAGCTCCTTCCTCTCGGTCTCTTTCCCTGCTCTCTGCTTCCCACCTGCTACGAGGCGACAAAGTTTGCTCCACCATGTTGCCTTAGAGTCAACCAACTATGGACTGAAACCTACAAATTGTGACCCAAAATAAACTTCTCCTTAGAATTGCAGATTCAAGTATTTTGTCCAACAAGAAGAAAATCACCAATACACTTCTCCACATCCCATTAAGGGAGTGATTTCATCCGAGGAGCTTCTTGAGTACTTTTGGTCTTTAATTATGCAGTCCAATGGCACCCGAGAATGACCATATGCTGAGCCCTGGGCAGAACTGACAAAGGCAACACACACCATAAACAGTTGTCCCTCGGTATCTTCAGGGCACTGATTCTAGGAAATCCCCTTGGATACCAAAGCTTGTGGATGCTCAAGTCCCTTCTATAAAGTGGTGTAGTATTTGCATAGAACTTATGTGCATTTTTCTAGACTGCTTCAATTATAAATGTTGTGCAGTTGTTATAATGCCGTTTAGGAGAGTTGGAAAAGAAAACGCTCTGTCCATGTTTGGCACTGATGTGATCATCATGGGCCCAGCTGCATTTCCAGTGCAGCATTAGTGAAGCTGTGGATGAAGGGCCCATGGACACAGGGGCCAGCTATGCAGGGCACATCCCTGCTCTCCAATGAGCTCAAGAGAAAACAGGTGTGGGATAACCAGTCCCATCTCTTAGTTCACTGCATACACATTTGGGAAGATTGTTCTAGGAATGTAGAAGACAGGCAAATTAATCTTGCCTGGAAAACTGGAAAAGGCAAATGCAGTTTGATATATAACAAGAATGTACAAATCCTAATAGGAGGAGTATTTTACCAATGACGAAGCCTTTATAGAAAAGAAAATGCAAAGAAAAATAGCAACAACAGCAAGGATGAGGAGTGGAAGTCCAGGACCTACTCTGGGTACTATCTCCTGCCCCATGCATCTGGAGTGACATTGGCCTTGCTGAGACTTGTGCTCTGTGCCAGGAATGATCTCTAGTCACAATCCACTTGTTACTCTACAAACTTAAGGGCACATCTGCAAATGTACACAGTTCAAGAAAACACAGAGAAAAGATTCACCATTAACTCTAAAAAGATTTGGAAAATAATATCAAAGGAACAGACTCAGAAGCATTTTGCCTATAGAATTCTATTTCATTGCACAATTTGGCACACAAATTTGATCTTCAATACTCTAATGACAAATTCATCAGTGCTACATAAATCAGTATCTTTGAAAGGGGAAATAAAGAAATATGTATTTCTTTAAAAAGAGAGAAAGAGAAAATAAAAAAGAAATAAAGTACCTCCATACAATACATTTTTAATCCTCAGGTGAATGAGACATTTCACCTGATCTTCACAAAGGGACACAGGAGGGGGGAGACATTTCTACAGTAGTAAAGGAAGAATATGGCCAGATTTGGACAATCTGCAGTCCCCAGTCTGTCATTCCTTAGCCAGGTATTCTGGGGTAAGTTTCTCATTTCTCTTCTACACATTGAAGATATAGTACCCACCTCATAGGGTGGTTGGGAGGTTTAAAATATATAAAATAAATATTCATTAATACTTGCAAATATCATGCAGCTCTTCAGATATTATAACTATATTCGTGGATAACTATTCTTGCAAAATCTCTCCATAGTTCTGCTAACCCCCATCTCCCCCTCTGCTTATGTCACTGTTGCCAATGTTCCTAAACTGGTTCTTACCTGCCCGAGTTCTTCATTAAGGTTTGATGTTCTGGCCATTGCGGGAGTGTCATTTTCTATATAATACATATCTGTGTCCTAAGAGAGTGAGAGAGAAAGAAAGAGAACCTTAGAAAATATGTATCACTGATCTTTCAGATTAACACAGAAGCTAAGAACAAGTAACTTTTAAAGACTTTCATTTTAATATATATGCTATTTCTTTTTTATTTGAGAGTACAAATACAGTGTACGTAAGGGGGAAACACAGACATACACAGAAGATCTGGTTTTAAGACCATCATTTCATAACTTAAACTAAATCCTGATTTGTGCTTAGCATATCATTTGAAGAACTTCTATAAAGATCAAATAAAGATGAATATATGTGTGGGGGGTCTGTTAAGAACTGACTGCTGGAGTCTAGTGCTTCAGGATCATGACAGTCCTTTTAAAAATCCAGGTGCAGGGACGGGGCTGCACCTCTGTTGTAGAGTAGCGATGAGCAACCAGGCAGCAGAGAGGGTGAAAAAAATTACTAGGAGAGGTGCTGTTTCTCCAGAGAGTGCCCAGCATTAGGGAGACTCTGGGAGAAAAAAAAGGTCCTCTGTGGGCCTTTCTCTGGGCCTCTCTAAGCCTTGTCTCTGGGGAATCTTTTTTTTTTTTTATTGAGTTTATTGGTACATTCTAGGTACACAGTACAGTTACATTCATTACTGGGATCTTGTACCTTTACACAACAGGTCTTGGTTCTCATTTTTTCCCCTTGTCCCTGCCCTCCCTTCACCCCCTCCTCCCCTAACCATGTACAAACATTTTGTTTCCATTTCTTCATTTTCTCATATTTTTTTCTTTTCCCTTATTCTCTTTCCCCTACCCTTCCAATTTCCCTACAACTTTAGCCCTTTTCTTCCTATTTCACATTGTTAATTATCCCATTTCTGGTGAATCTTTTTCATCCTCTATGCCACCTGTGGTCGCTCACTGTAACGAGTGGTGGCCCTTGTGAGGCTAAACATGTGGCTGCTGATCAGTGCAAAGGACCAAGCTCCCAAGCCCAGAAAAGGAACAAGGATGCTTCCAACTCTTCTTTCCTCGTAAGGGAACACAGACAGCCACAGAATAGCCTGGTAAGCTACTTTCAGGAAAACGGTTGCTTTTATCAACCCAGAGGTCTTTTACCTGCCTAACTGCTAAGTCAGCAGGAGCAGAATATTTGTTTCTCACTTTGTTCTTTTACTTTCAATTCTCCTGCTTTGCCTACAATATGGGTTGAACTTTAAGAAGGAAAAACAATGTAAGCTACATTTACAGTGTCTCTTAAAAACATCTGACTGGAAAAAATAGAATAAAATAAAAACTAAAGAAAAGGAAAACAAAACAAAACAAAAAAACGGTTAAAGACAACAAAAGTCAAACCCATAAAATATGCTAAACTGGGACAAATCTATCAAAAAAAAAAAAACTCCTATCAGTATTGTTACTAAGGCTAGACACCACAGTATAAACATTTGAAAGTGCACTCTGAATTAATACAACCGTTTTACGAATTCTGTATGTTATCTTGTCTGTTCATCTGCCTGTTAATCTGATTTAATAACTAATAAGGTACCTGCACCTGCTTCAGTAAAGACTTTTGAGCGCATATCATTTTTACTTTTTCTTTTATTTTTTCCCTTATAAACTTCTGGCTCTTAAGAGAATGAGCTGAAAGGAAATTCATTACAGAATAAAAACTAATAGACTTAAAGAGCACTTACAAATAAAAGCCTTAAAGCTTGGTGATATAAAGATTATATGTGATTTAGGCTAATATATATGTTTCTACGTGTGTGGGGGTTAACTTTTAGGATAATATAATCCTCCAAAAAATCCTATTTAAGTTGACTTATCAGTCAATAGACTCTCATGATGTTAACCCAATGCCTTTTAGTTTATAAATTTTAAGAGTGAGCTAATGCAAATTAGCTGGTAAAAGTAAAAATGACTTTAAAGTTTGTTAGCCAATAAAAAAAATATCAAAATTGGTTTTATAAATACAATACCTATTGTCCATATGCAATAATTTAAAGACTTTTTTCATCAGTATTCAAGAGATTAACATAAAAAATGAGACTAAAAAGCTCCATAGTACAGGGGAAAATGGTTATGAAATAAAAATAAAAACACATATAGCTCCTCAATTCTGGTGTGCCTATCAGCACCCCTCTTACAAAAATATTAACCTAAAGACCAAAAATTCCTCTCTAGAATCCAATTTGGATCTAGACAAACACATTCATTTCTTTTACAACCTGGAGCTTCCTCAGGAAATTCTGTGTCTGCATATAACAGATCCTAGGAGAGAGGGAGATATATATCCCACATTTGAATGTCCCACATTTGAATGGCCTCAAAAGTATACTCAGCCTAGATTCTTCATCTATCCTACTCTGGCCAGGCAAGAGCTACAGAACACCTGAAAACCAACACAAGAAAAAATAAAGCAGACACATAGTGACCAAATAATCTCATGTGTGAGCCAAAATAAAATATGAATCTATAGATACTACCTCTTGATAGTCAAGACTTACTTCACCTATCATACAAAAATGCCAGTGATACGTAGGGGAAGAACAAAAAGGGAAAAGAAAAAAATGTGAGAGAATGAAAAGATGAAAATAAAGTGTTTGTAGATGGGGAGGGGAGGAGGGGGTGAAGGGAGGGCAGAGGTAAGGGGAAAAAAATGAGAATCAAGACTTGCCATGTAAAGGTACATGATCCCAACAATGAATGTAACTGTACTGTATCCCTAAATGTACCAATAAACTCAATAAAAAAAAAAAAAAAGCCAGTGCTGATAGTCAGAGTCCTAACATCCCTTAAAATTTTTAAAAATTGCTAAAATGATTAAGGCTTATCAAGTGTGAGAACTGAGACTTAGACTCAAAACTGAGACTCAAAAATATTATAATTGTGGCAAGGAATGACATCTTCAAAGAGCTGCAAAAATAATAAACACGATAAAGGGACCAAGCCAAAATTAAAATGTTCTAAATGCAAAAAAGGAGCTGCCTGTCTGCCTGCCTGCCTGCCTGTGACCACCCGGCAGCGTGCG